TAGGTCAAATACAAACGAGACTTTGAAGAAAGCAAAGGAAGAGGTTTCAGCATTGTAACTGACACACCAGAACTGCAAAGACTGAAAAGGACTCAGGAGCAAATCAGTAATGTATGTGACAATGACAGTAGATCAGAGAAATGGTGCGCAAATGAAAAGGCATGGTTGGAGATGGCTGATGGGTTTCCAGTCTGGAATCTGTATGAGTGCAGAAACTGGAATATTTGATGACTTTGTGTGTGTGATTGAGATTTGGTTTACATTAGCAGCACATTGGTAGTGTGTGTGTGTTCCCTCTCCAAACCAATTACTGTCAAATATTCATATCCTGACTGTTAAAAACACTGGTATCAAACTGCATTGTTTTATTTTTAATAATATTATGCAATAGATATACTTTGCAAATTATTTGGGGTAAAAGTTGCAAAATGATTTCACAAATAACTTCAGCTTCCAGAATTACCTTTCTCACAAGAAATATTACCTTATATACAAAGAACTGTGAGTGGAACAACAAGTATTTTTTCAGTGAACATTGCTCAAGATCTAACAGAAGACTTCTCATGGTGGAGCACCACAATGTATCAAGGATTGCGGTACAGTGCAAGATAAAATGATAAAAGGAATGTGGATCTGGATCATCTCTTGGGTCTTGGAGACCTTGCGCAAGCAAATATCTGGGATTGTGTTTTTTGTGTTATTTGGAAGGATCCAAGCTACTGTCAATATTTATTTATTCAAAGTGCAAAAGTTATTTATAAGATAAAAATATGTATGCATAAACGTATACTTGAAGAGCTCACAGCAAGTACCATGGAGATTAATAGTCTGAAATGTGAGCCATGGTGTAAACAAATGTCACAGCTTCATAGTTTCTCATCCTCTCCAGAGGTATCATTATTTCCGTTTTCTAACCAACTATTCACGGTGTGAAGATAGGAAGAAGATTTGTTATGTTAATTCAATGACATTTTAGAGGAATAGTTTGTGCTGCAAGTTGACATTGGCTTATGAATAAGTCCTTGGAATTAATGAAGATTTGGAAGTAATCTGGGAGGATACCAAAAGGACATAGAAAAGGTAAATGAGTGAGGGGCCAGGTGATTTTTTTCCTTCCCAGATTATTATTTTTAATTACAATTATAAAATTAGGTAAGAACTTGGGGCTTGGGAGGACCATTTTGACTGGACTTTCCTCAGCTCTGATCGAAGTCATAGTGGTAACCATAAAGAAAACGTTTTAATTATTTTAAATAATTGATTTCATGCAGTTTCCCTGCATAAGCATGCATATTAAATGGTTGATATAGGACTTGAAGCATACATATTTGAAATTTCATTCACCCAGGAGTGTAATATAAGACCCTTTCCTGTATATTTTATACTGTAAGATTTATATCTGCTTATAAGATTACTTTTGATAATAAGGATTAATTCCTCCACCATTGATTTTGATTCCATGTGATATGATAAACTCCATTAAGCCTGGCTTTATGAAGTGTTTGAGTCTAAATCCAATTGGTAATTCCAAGTAAAGTAGAATTAATAGGTTTACAGTTAATGAAAAATTCATTTATTTATTTAGCCTGTAACAATCTTATAAGTATCTTGTTATGGTAAAGAGACAAATGTTTACATTTTAATTGTGACTTTTCAGAATATGCTTGAGATGGCTGATCAGTGAGTAAAGTAAGTAAATGGGTTTATGGTTGCTGTCCTCTGAAATTCTTAGTCGTTAAAATGAAGACTTCATATATTGTGACTAAATAACACAATTCATGAATATTTTGCTTGCTTCCTTTCATGTTAATGTTTCTTAAGTAAAATGTGGAAGTTTTTTCAGAAAGAATAGGAAGAGTGAGAGAAGAGCACTGTTCAAATTCAGATCATAATGATGTGTCAAGAGCAGATTCATGGATTCAGGTGTTCTGATGATGTTGAAGAGAAGGTAAACATGTTACTGGTTGGTAAGTTTGCTATTTTGTTCCCTCTAATGTGTGGATTTCTGTTTTTGGCATTAATTGGATTGCATTATTATGCCTGCATCAATGTTGATATAAGCCATGGTTAAGACATCAAGACTATTATGCCTGCAGTCACCTTGATGTCTTCTACAAAAGAATGTGAAAGGTAAGCTGGTTGGAGTGCAACCTACCGAAAGGCAAGTTTCTTATGAAGAGATGTCTCTCTATATAAAATGTATACCCTGCCAAATTCTACTGAATATTAAAGGTCTAAATTTATAACTAAACAGTGAAGACAGGACTGTTTTGAAGAGCAAGCATATAGCCCAAGTAAAAGGCTTGATAGAATTCTGTTGTCATGGCAGTCAAAATAGGTCTTTCTTATATGGATTGCTCTCGGAGTATTAAATAAATTAACTGCTTCTCTTAATGACAAGTTTTAGACATTTTGGTTCACCTTTCCATGGTTGGGTGGGCATTTTAAATTGCCTGTGCATTTTCCAATTTGTGTGGTGTGATTTAAGATGCTTATAAATTATTATTTTTTCAATATTTCAAATTTAAAATATTCACATCTATTCTGCTGGGACAGCACACTGATTTTGGGCTTCGGAGTTGTCTGCCTATGGCATTTGCTGAGAATGCAGGAACTTCACATTTATCTTACTTGTGATCAGGTGCCTTTATTTCTTTTTCGTGTAACTGTTAATTTTCAGTATGCTATGAAAGTTACTTTGTGTGAAAAGTATATAAAATTTAACATCCAATTTAGGAAATGAGTTTAGAAAATGAATAGAACAAGTTTTTATAATGTAATATAAAATCTAGTAAAATAATTATCCAGTTGCAATGCTGTTGTGGCATCTACAGCATTTTTTTTACAATGTGATCAGAGAAGCATACTGTTAACACTTGATACTATCTGCAAATGAGCATTTTAATTTATCAGTGGGATGTTGTATACACATATGTCTGTCCTTGGCAGTTTCACAGTTGTGTTGGTTTAGCACCATAGAGTGATATTGGTGGAAGATCTTAGGGAGAAGTTAGTAGTTTTCCAAAACTGCTTGGAGGAAGCAGCTATAGTAATGGAAACTATTACTATAAAGAATTCCTGGTCTCAGGTAAGCAGTCTGTAACAGTCCTCGAGTTACAGACATCCAGCTGACATAGTTAAGAACGGAGAACAGGAAGTGAGAGAAAACTACCTCTCGGAAGGAAAATTCACTTTTGAAAGAGTTATCATAGGGAAGACGTGTCTTCACTGAAGCCTCATCATCAATTCTTGTTTCCACATTTTTTTCAAAATCCAATTGTCAGAGGGACAGAAAGTGAGGTGAAATCTTCAAAACAGGCACAGACAGCAAAACAAACACCACAAGGCTGTTAACACTTCCTTATGCTAAGCAAAGTGTGCACACACACACACACGTGTGTATGTGTGCATCCTGTTACTTTCTGTTCCTCAGACAATTGGCTGTAGTTACACTTAGAAAATGTACCTGTTCCTTGTATATACAAATTCAGCTTAAGGACAAACCTATAGAACCTATCATGTTCATAACTTGGACTACCTGTACTCTCCTTGGGTACAACTACACTATACAGTTAATGCAGTTTGATACCAGTGTTTTACAAGGCGTTTACCCTTCTCTACCAAAGAGTGTTGGTGCATTAGGATTCTATAGTATTGATCCACGACAGTTAAAATGGTGTCAAACTGCATTAATTCTACAGTGGATGTCACTCTTGAACATTGTGGAAATGTTTGGGAGTGACATTCAGCAATCTATTATGTCTATCATTTTTATAACATCTTCAAAGAATGATTGTAAAATGATCTTGATATTAAGAGTGCTTTCTCAGCTGACATGGATTTATATGTAATCTATTCATTTCAAATATGACAAAATCATATGCTAATCACGATGTAAACAGTGACTACCAGATGGATTTTTGAATGATAAATTAAAATTTATAATTATACACAAATATTTGGTGGAAGCTGTTAATATGTTTATGATTATAAGTTTTAACATGGTGAATAGGGTAATTAAATAATTGCTTTAAAATATCTGGCTGGCATTCTCTTGGTGAATTATTGTAGTGTAAGCCAGATTTATACCATCACAACTCACTCTTTTAGTCATTGCATAATTCACTCTTGGGTGCTTTAATGACCTCCTGAAGACGGTCAGAGATCCGTTTGCAGATGTCTGTTGCAATGCACCCAGATGCAGGAAAACAGTTGGATCCATTCCTTCTGCCCCCTAAGATTTCACACCAGCTTTATTGTCATAGTAACGTGATCCTCAAGTGCTTTGCACTGTTTTTTGGGTTACTAACCTCTTTGAAAATCTGGTCAAACATGTGGACATACTTTCCAGAAAAATACACATAAACGTGTAAGTGCAACATTTTGCTTGCAGTGCCTATTTGGAAAAACAAAACAAAAACAAAACAAAAACAAAACATGGCTGACATCCTATTCACAAGGTTCTAAGCAGGATATGTGATTTCATAACTATTGGGAATTTATTTATTTATTTAAAACATTTATATTCTACCCTTCTCACCCCGCAGGGGACTCAGGGTGGAGCACAACTTATATACGGCAAACATTCAGTGCTGGGACATAATTTATGGTCATTAATGTCAGGAATGACTACAAAACCTACTGTTTTATCCTGACAGTGTCTTAACTGAAGGGTTTCAGATATAGTTCCTTGCCCAATCAAAGGGTGCCATGAGACCTTGAGGAGGTTCTCCAGTTGCCTGTTCTCAGTGTGTCTCATAATTGGGAGAGTACTTCAGATACCATTTCCAAGCATCCTGATCTCCAGTTCTTTGGAAACCTTTCAGTTGAGGCTGAAAGTTTTTTTTGAGGAGGGGCATTATATATTAGACGTACCTATGATGGTAGAACTTTGTCATAGTAGTTATATTGGATATTGAAGATTGCAGCTCATATATTATAATAATAATAATAATAATAATAATAATAATAATAATAATAATAATCTTTATTTATACCCCCCCCCCATCTCCCCGATGGGGACTCAGAACGGCTTACATGGGCCCAAGCCTGGACAACATATTACAGCAAAATGAAACCAAAACATTATCTTAAAGTTCATAGTGATGGGGAAAATGATAACTAATTAAAATGGAGTGTAAATAGTCATATTTTGGCACCCAGTTCATGGATCCCATAAAACCCATCAATGGTTCAATTATCAGATGACCTAATATTTCTTGAGACAATCCAAGTGTCATTTTGGTATGCAAAAAAGGTAAACATCTACTTCCTAGGCAGAGGTTTTCTGTTCAAGGAGAACTGTAATAACCACCACAGTCTCAACTATCTAGACCTGTGTATGACCATTCTGGTATCCCTAAAATCAAATGTTTCATTTTTGCAACTATAGCTCTATTTCGAGTATACATTGCATTTATTTTTGGATTATTTCAATCATCACTGATATTTCATATGTAATAGAATATAATTCAACTTTGATTATCAAATAAATATTGAATAAATGTTTCCAGAATATCTGCCATTAGCAATTTTATGTAGTCTTAATATCTTCAGGAATGCCAGATTGTTGGTTTACTTTTGTATAAGGAATTCAAGTTGTTGCTTTTCTTAAAAATGAAAAATGACATGTTATTTGTATAGAGAGGCTGCACTGGAAATTTCCTGTCACCACAAATAGCCATACTAATGTAACTAAATTTGCTACTTGCTGATGATCATGAGCTGTGAACTATCTTGATTTAATTCTAGCCTCTAAGTGTACATTGAAAAACAAAGCAAAACAAAACCAATCCTATAATTAGAATTTGTTGGCACATTTATGCGACCTGTTTACTTGTTCAAGCATAAGCTGGGTCTGGAAATTGATAAAGCACTTTGCAGTGAGAGTTGGCAGGGAAGGATGTTAAAATCAAAGCCAATGTGTGGACAACAAAGCTTAAGTGTCTGAAGACATTAATTTAAGAATTTTAGAGTGTATTTCTATAGGCATTGACCTAGGAAATAACAAAGGAGTTGTGGTAGGCATGCATGGGATAATGCTGTTATTCTGTTTAATTCAAATGACAATCTGCTGTGTTTCCCAAATTATTAAATCACATCTTATTCCTGTTTGAATAAATGGGTGGATTTTCTTTCCTAACCAAATAGACTCCACTGGTTTGAAAGCATAAATGAAAACGATGAAGTAAATTGGAGACCGATTCCTGTCATCTAATAATCATGTTTCTTCTAGTTTCCTAATCAGGTAAGAAAATAACTTGCATGAAATTTATGTGCTTTTAAGTCTGAAGGATTCAATCTTTTGCTTTGAGCTGCAATTGATAAGCATATTTTCAAAGTACAATGGCCTCAATTTAGATATAATGGCTTCTAGAGAGAGAGAGAGAGAGAGAGAGAGAGAGAGAGAGAGAGAGAGAGAGAGAGAGAGAGAGAGAGAGAGAGAGATCGGGCTCGATTTGCTCTTCCCATTTATTAGTAATTTTGTCTGTTCATGGTTCTCGTAGAATGCCCTTCCAGCACCACATTTCAAATGAATTGATTCTTTCAGCTTTTTCACTGCTCAGTCTTTTTCACCTGTACACAGACATTGAAAATACTGTGATACAGATGATCATGGTTTCAGTATCCACTGATATATCTTTGCATTTGAAGATGTTATTAATTTCTTTTATAGCTATTGCTCCAGTCCTTTTCTTCTGATTTCCCGATTACATTCTCAGTTTTGATATATAACTAAGCCAAAATATGGAAAGTCTTTGACCATTTCAGTGTCTACATCTCCCACTGTAAAGCTGTGTAAATCATGGGCAGTCATTATGTTTGTTTTCTTAGTCTTTATTTGTAACACTGCTTTTGCATTTTCCCCTTTGACTTTTCTCAATAGTTGCTCTAGTCATCACCTATTTCTGCAAGTGTCGCCTGTGTATCTTAACTTTTTGTTCTTATGTTTTCTAATACCTCCCTCCCCAGTGTTAGGAATTATTGAGAATTACCCTCATTCTAGCCTGATTTTGTGTTGGCGCTATGGCTTTGTGTCTCTGGCTTGGAAGAGGTTTGACTTGGCACAGTTTGACTCTTTCTTGAACCTGCCCTTTATTTGCTCCCTTTTTGCCTCATCTGCCAGTAGATCATACTCAACAGAACAGTTCTGCCAGCATGTTGCTTTACTGGCAGATCTCTGAAATGATTTTGCCAGCAGAAGGGGATTTCTGCCAGCAAAGAGACCTTTGCCTGATCCTTACCCCCTATAGCCACTGAAGCTTTGAGTTAGTGCTGCACTGTTAGCTGGCATAGACTGAACAGGAAAGTGTTCCTGTGATCATGGCACATGGCTCAGTGAAAGTATTTGATGCATGTTCGCAGCAGCTGTCAAAATGCAAATTCCATCTTAGGGATCATTAGGAAAGGGACTGGAAATAAAACTGCCAATATTATAATGCCATTATTACGGCACATCAGGTGCTTTCTCTACCTCAGAATGGATGTTGTGGAGCTGAAAGTGATCTCAGAAAGGGAAACCAAAATGGTTAGAATTCTAGAGCATCTCCTCTATAAGGAGACATCGGAACCATTTAGTTAGAAGAGATATAAAAGATTATGCCTGTAGTGCAGAAAGTAGATGGAGAAGTTTCTCCTTTTGCCAGAAGAATATGAAAACCAAAGATCCAAGTGAATATGTTTGGTAGGAGATTCAGAGTGATTAAAGTGATTATATTTTCACACAGTGCATAGTTGAATTTATGGAATTCACTGCCAGTGATGAGGAGCTGTGGTCCCCGAGATGTGGCAAGAGTAGAGTTCTCTTCAGCCATGGGCTGCATAGCTAGATGTTATAGATGGGCCATATTTTCCAATCCTGGTATAGACCAAGGCTTCTGAAACATTTTCAACTCATGACCCTTTTTTGTCTGATAAATTTTTATGAGACCCCAAGTATATAGGCATGAAATAGATATAAAAACCAAACATTTACTGATAAATCAGCATTTATTTTCATTTATTTATTTCAAACATTTATATCCCGTCCTTCTCAACCTCCGAAGGGGGACTCAAGCATTTGCAAGACTTGCTAAACAGGCCAATTTTGCTTTTTGTGGAGGACAGCTGAAGCATTTTCTGCAAAGTACTGTAAATATTACATGTTGCTAACAGATTTGTGTATGTTGTTCATTCGTTCAGTCATCTCCGACTCTTTGTGACCTCATGGACCAGCCCACGCCAGAGCTCCCTGTCGGCCGTCACCACCCCCAGCTCCTTCAAGGTCAGTCCAGTCACTTCAAGGATGCCATCCATCCATCTTGCCCTTGGTCGGCCCCTCTTCCTTTTACCTTCCACTTTCCCCAGCATAATTGTCTTCTCCAGGCTTTCCTGTCTCCTCATGATGTGGCCAAAGTACTTCAACTTTGTCTCTAGTCTTCCTTCCAGTGAGCAGTCGGGCTTTATTTCCTGGAGTATGGACTGATTTGATCTTCTGGTGGTCCAAGGCACTCTCATAAATTTCCTCCAGCACCACAGTTCAAAAGCATCTATCTTCCTTCGCTCAGCCTTCCCTAAGGTCCAGCTCTCACATCCGTAGGTTACTACAGGGAATACCATGGCTTTGACTAGGCGGATCTTTGTTGCCAGTGTGATGTCTCTACTCTTTACAATTTTATCGAGACTGGACATTGCTCTCCTCCCAAGAAGTAAGCGTCTTCTGATTTCCTGGCCACAGTCTGCATCTGCAGTAATCTTTGCACCTAGAAATACAAAGTCTGTCACGGCCTCTCACATTTTCTCCCTCTATTTTCCAGCTGTCAATCATGCTTGTTGCCATAATCTTGGTTTTTTTGACGTTTAGCTGCAACCAGCTTTTGCGCTTTCTTCTTTCACCTTGATTAGAAGGCTCCTCAGCTCCTCCTCACTTTCGGCCATCAGAGTGGTGTCATCTGCATATCTGAGGTTGTTAATGTTTCTTCCAGCAATTTTCACCCCAGCTTTGCATTCATCAAGCCCCGCACATCGCATGATGTGTTCTGCATACAAGTTAAAAAGGTTGGGTGAGAGTATGCAGCCTTGCCGTACGCCTTTCCCAATCTTGAACCAGTCTGTTGTTCTGTGGTCAGTTCTTACTGTTGCTACTTGGTCCTTGTACAGATTCCTCAGGAGAGAGACAAGGTGGCTTGGTATGCCCATCCCAAGAACTTGCCACAATTTATTATGATCCACACAGTCAAAGGCTTTAGAATAGTCAATGAAGCAGAAATAGATGTTTTTCTGAAACTCCCTGCCTTTCTCCATTATCCATCGGATATTGGCAATCTGGTCTCTCGTTCCTCTGCCTTTTCTAAACCCAGCTTGAACATCTGGCAACTCTCGCTCCATGTATTGCTGGAGTCTTCCTTGCAGGATCTTGAGCATTACCTTACTGGCATGAGAAATAAGGGCCACTGTACGGAAGTTGTGAGCAGTCTTTCGCATTTCCCTTTTTTGGTATGGGGATATAAGTTGATTTTTTCCAGTCTGATGGCCATTCTTGTGTTTTCCATATTTGCTGGGATATGGCATGCATCACCTTGATAGCATCATCTTTTAAAATTTTAAACAGTTCAGCTGGGATCCCGTCGTCTCCTGCTGCCTTGTTGTTAGCAATGCTTCTTAAGGCCCATTCAACCTCACTCCTCAGGATGTCTGGTTCTAATTCATTCATCACACCGTCAAAACTATCCTCAATATTATTATCCTTCCTATACAGATCTTCTGTATAGTCTCGCCACCTTCTCTTGATCTCTTCAGCTTCTGTTAGGTCCCTGCCATCTTTGCTTCTTATCATACCAATTTTTGCCTGAAATTTACCTCCAATGTTTCTAATTTTCTGGAAGAGGTCTCTTGTCCTTCCTATTCTGTTGTCTTCTTCCACTTCCATGCATTGCTTATTTAAAAATAGTTCCTTATCTCTTCTGGCTAACCTCTGGAATTGCGCATTTAACTGGGCATATCTCCCCTTTTCACTGTTTCCTTTTGCTTTCCTCCTTTCTTGGGCTACTTCCAGTGTCTCAGCAGACAACCATTTTGCCTTATTGGTTTTCTTTTTCTTTGGGACGTACTTTGTTGCCGCCTCCTGAACAATGTCGCGGACTTCTGTCCATAGTTCTTCTGGGACTCTGTTTACTAAATCTAGTCCTTCAAATCTGTTCTTCACTTCCACTGTATATTCACTAGGAATGTTAGTGAGATCATATCTAACTGTCTGTGTATTTTCCCTGATCTCTTTAGTTTTATTCTAAACTGAGCAATAAGAAGTTCGTGATCTGAGCTACAGTCAGCCCCAGGTCTTGTTTTCACCGACTGGATGGATGTCCACCACCTTTGGCTGCAAAGGATGTAGTCAATCTGATTTCGGTGTTGACCGTCTGGTGAGGTCCATGTGTAAAGCCGTCTTTTAGGTTGTTGGAAGAGAGTATTCATTATACACAGCGAGGTTTCCTGGCAAAATTCTATCAGCCTGCGTCCCGCTTCATTTTGTTCTCCCAGACCATGCTTGCCTGTGATCCCAGTTGTCATTTGACTTCCCACCTTGGCATTCCAGTCTCCTGTAATGAAAATAATGTCTCTTTTTGGTGTATTATCCAGTAGGTCCTGCAGATCCTCATAGAACTGATCTACTTCTGCTTCTTCAGCAGCTGTGGCTGGGGCGTATATTTGGATCACTGTAATGTTGAAAGGCTTTCCTTGCACTCGAATTGAGGTCTTTCTGTCATTTTTGGGTTGTATCCAAGCACTGTTTTAGCAACTTTCTTATTAATGATGAAGGCTACGCCATTTCTTCGGTGTTCCTCTTGTCCGCAGTAGTAGATCTGGTGGTCATCTGATGTGAAGTGGCCCATTCCAGTTCGCTGACCCCCAGAATGTCTATCTTTAGTCTTGACATCTCACCAATAACAACATCCAATTTGCCCTGGCTCATAGATCTTACATTCCAGGTTCCTATGGTGTGCTGATCTTTAGAGCATCGGATTCGTCGTTCACCTCCAGTACCGTCGGCCGCTAGCCTTCCTTTCGGCTTTGAGCTAGCTGCGTCATCACATCTGGGGCTAGTTGAACTTATCCTCTGCTCCTCCCCAGTAGCATTTTGGCCATCTTCCGACCTGGGAGTCCCATCTTCCAATGGCATACTGACATATCTCTGGTTGTACTGGTCCATTTAGTTTTCTTGGCAAGGATACTGGAGTGGTTTGCCATTGCCTTCCCCAGGGATCACGCTTG